ATTTTTTTTTACTAAAAAGATAGCTGAATACATTTTAGCCAAGATTTATAAAGAAAGATTATTTATTTGCAAAATTGTATAAGAAATACAGTTTTTTTTCAAAATGTTTGGACTTTTTTATTTATATAGCAAAAAAATAAAAATCCCAGTGGTGAATATATACCACCAAAAGAAAGTTTTATCTGTCTCAAAAAAATGCTAAAAAAAATTCATATGGGTACAGTGTTGCATGATCGCGCAATTCAAAGTGTGACAACGTTGAAAGCTAAAAAATTGGCCTGGACTGGAAGGGGGTGAAAGTGTCCAGACTTGAAGTGGTGAAAGAAACAATAATCTTCTCAGCCTTATGATGGTTTTGAAGTCTGGTAGCTTATTAAAGGGGAAAATGAAGGACTGGTTCTAAGGACTAAACTAACTAGTCCCAACATACAGGAAAGCTGGATGATACCATTAACAAATATAGAAATAACAAATTGTAGTTATAAGAATTACCACTAAGATATAAATACATACAGAATGAAATTCAATGGAATGGATACACGATAAGATTTTCCATAATAATGTGAAAAAAAAAGTATTCTGATTAGGAGCAAGGATTGCTACAGATAATAAAACATTTTGCCTTTTCTTTTTACCTTTCTAAAAGGAACCTAAGAATGTCCATTGTTTCATTAATGAATACATTTTTCTTTGGCACAGTTAAAGGCGAACTTCTAGCAGATATAACACCATCGCTTAATGTGGTTGTGTATTCTTTAACCTCCCTAGCGGTCTGATTATGTCCATATTTCTGTGGTCAAAGTGGTACATTTTTTTGCATGGAAATATGTATTTTTTTTATTGTAGACCTGTAATTTTTTGGAATAACTCACTGAAATCTGTCCGAACAAGAGTCTAGTAAACATCCCGGGTATGATATATATATATATATATATATATATATATATATATATATACAGTTGTGTTCAAAATAATAGCAGTCAGACATCACTAACCGAATCAATCACTGTTTTTGGTAGAAATTATATTTCTACATGGCAAATCATTTACTAGCAGGTGTAGTAGAGTAATAGAAATCCAACAGACCCAACAGTCATGACATGCATGCTGCTGATTCTGTGTCATTGAATCACTCATTGAAAGGGGCATGTTCAAAATAATAGCAGTGTGGAGTTCTATTAGTGAGGTCATTCATTCTGTGAAAAACAGGTGGCAATTATTGCCCTTATTTAAGGAAGGAAGGCAGCAAATGTTGTACATGCTGGTTACAGTGCATTTCTCTCTGAAATTCTGAGGAAAATGGGTCGTTCCAGGCATTGTTCAGAAGAACAGCGTACCTTGATTAAAAAGTTGATTGGAGAGGGGAAAACATATAAAGAAGTGCAGAAAATGATAGGCTGCTCAGCTAAAATGATCGCAAATGCTTTAAAATGGCAACCAAAACCTGAAAGATGTGAAAGAAAGCGAAAAACTTCCATTCGAATGGATAGAAGAATAGTCAAAATGGCAAGGACTCAGCCAACAATCAGCTCCAGGAAGATGAAAGAAGGTGTAAAGTTCCCTGTGAGTACTGTTACAATTAGAAGACGCCTATGTGAAGCCAAGCTATCTGCAAGAAGCCCCCGCAAAGTCCCACTGTTGGAGAAAAGACGTGCTGAAGAGGTTACAATTTGCCAAAGAGCACATTGACTGGCCTAAAGAGAAATGGCGCAACATTTTGTGGACTGATGAAAGTAAGATTGTTCTTTTTGGGTCTAGTGGCCGGAGACAGTTTGTCAGACGACCCCCAAACCCTGAATTCAAGCCACAGTACACTGTGAAGACAGTGAAGCATGGTGGTGCAAGCATCATGATATGGGGATGTTTCTCATACTACGGTGTTGGGCCTATTTATCGCATACCAGGGATTATGGATCAGTTTGAATACATCAGAATACTTGAAGAGGTCATGCTGCCTTATGCTGAAGAGGAAATGCCCTTGAAATGGGTGTTCCAACAATACAACGACCCCAAACACACCAGTAAACGTGCAACATCTTGGTTCCAGACCAACAAGATTGACGTTATGGAGTGGCCAGCCCAATCCCCGGATCTTAATCCAACAGAAAACTTGTGGGGTGACATCAAAAATGCAGTTTGAGGCAAAACCAAGAAATAGAGAAGAACTGTGGAATGTAGTCCAATCATCCTGGGCTGGAATACCTGATCACAGGGGCCAGAAGTTGGGTGACTCCATGCAACACAGATGTACAGCAGTTCTCAGAAACAGTGCGACTACAACCAAATATTCATTAAGTGATTCAAAGAAAAGCAAAATCTTCAAACATTTTTCAGTTTATATAGTGAATGTTTGAGTTTGTAAAGAAGAATACAAACACTGCTATTTTTTTGAACCGTCTAATATTCACTTTTCTTCAATGTTTTTAGAGGAACAACACAAATTTGATATTTTTCTTCATGTTTTGATTTGGAATAGAATGTGTAGTGTTCCCAATGCATTTGTGTGGGATGGAAATAAAAGCTATTAGAAGGATTTTGAGCTTTAGTCACTTTTTTCAACACACTGCTATTATTTTGAACACAACTGTATATACACACACACACACAGTTAGGTCCATATATATTTGGACACAGGCACAATTTTCATACTTTTGGCTCTGTATGCCACCAGAATAAATAAAAATGAAACAATCCAAATGAATTTGAAGTGCAGACTTTCAGCTTTAATTCAAGGAGTTCAACATAAATATAGAGTACAAATTTTAGGAACTGCCACTATTTTTATACACAGTCCCTCCATTTTCAGCTGTCTTCAATTGTTCTTTGTTTTTGGGTCTTTCTGCCTTTTAGTTTTGCCTTCAGCAAGTGAAATGCATCAATTGGGTTGAGATCAGGTGACTGACTCGGCCATTGCAGAATATTCCACTTCTTTTCCTTCAAAAGCTCCTGGGTTGCTTATGCAGTGCATTTTGGATCATTGTCCACCTGTACTGTGAAGCGCAGTCCACATTTGGCTGAATCTGGGCTGACAGCATATCTCTAACACTGCAGAATTCATCCGGCTGCTTCTGTCTTCTGTTACATCATTAATAAACACCAATGACCCAGTGCCACTGGAAGCCATGCATGCCCATGTTTTACAGATGACGTTGTGTGCTTTGGATCATGAGCTGTTCCAAGCCTTCTCCACGCGTTTTTCTTCCCGTTGTTCTGGTACAGATTAATCTTAGATTCATCCGTCCAAAGAATGCTTTTCCAGAACTGGTCTGGCTTTTTTAGATGTTTCTTGGCAAAGTCTAATCTGGCTTTTTCTATTCTTCAGGCTTATGAATGGTTTGTGCACCTTGTGGTGAACCCTCTGTATTTGCTCTCGTGAAGTCTTCTCTTGATTGTAGACTTTGACAATGATACGCCCACCTCCTGGAGAGTGTCCTTCACTTGTCTGGATGTTGTGAATGGGTTTTTTTTTACCATAGAGAGGATCCTGCGATCATCCACCACTGTTGTCCTCCATGGACGTCCATGCCTTTTTATGTTCCTGAGCTCACCAGTGCATTCTTCTTTCCTCAGAATGTACCAAACTGTTGATGTGGCCACTCCTAATGTTGCTGCTATCTCTCTGATGGATTTGTTTAGTTTTTTTGAAACCTGTTTCACTTGCATGGACAGCTCCTTTTGAACGCATGGTGTAGGTTCACAGCAGTAGATTTCAATTTCAAGTGCCACACTTAGAATCAACTCCAGACCTTTTACCTGCTTAATTGATGAAGAAATAATGAAGGTATAGCCCACACCTGGCCATGAATGAGCTTTTTATTCAATTGTCCAATTACTTTTGGTCCCTTGAAAAAGTTACTCTTAAGCTCTAATTACTAAACCCTTCCTCCAATTTGGATGTACATACCCTCAAATTAAACCTGAGAGTGTGCACTTTCAGCCCATATCCATTATAGAACTAGAGCTTGAATATGTTTTGGTAAATACCTGAAAAAAACAAATTGTGCCTCTGTCCAAATATATATATGGACCTAACTGTGTGTGTATGTATATGTGTGTATATATATATATATATATATATGTATATATAGAGAGAGAGAGAGAGAGCGAGCTATATATGTTTGCCTTAAAGTGTTACTAAGTGTACAACAGTAAAATAAGTCTGTATTTGCAGTAAAACATGCTTGTTTTACTCATTGTGGAACCTAAGGGGTTAATCCTCTGCGTGTGTAAAAAGGCTGTATCATCCTGTCTTCTCTGGTCATCCCTTCTTCTACTGTCCCCAATCCATCTGCTGATAGTACAGAGCTCTAGGAGTCACTCTGCACGTGTTCAAGTTTAGTGTGTATTGCTAGAGTTTTTTTGTTTTTTTTGGGGGGAGGGTGCATGCGATCAGCACAGCACAGGACCAATCAGTGCTGTCCAGATGGAGGGTCAGGGGTTATTCAACCTTATAGGACAATCAGGGGAGAATGAAAACTCCTTCTACAAGCTTTAACCAGTGCTCGGCTGGACACTGATAGAAGTCACAAGACTGCTATATACTGCTGATGAGAAAAGGTATATAGCAGTTTATATTTACTAAAATAATTGCATTTCCAAGTTTTGTGTACTGTGGGAGACCAGATATAGTGAATTCAGGGTCGTGGGAGACCAGATATAGTGAATTCAGGGTCCGGGGAGACCAGATATAGTGAATGCAAGGTCCAGGGAGACAGATATAGTGAATGCAAGGTCCGGGGAGAACAAATATAGTGAATGCAGGGTCCAGGGGAGACCAGATATAGTGAATGCAGGGTCCAGGTAGACCAGATATAGTGAATACATACAGGGTCCGGGGAGACCAGATATAGTGAATGCAGGGTCCGGGGAGACCAGATATAGTGAATGCAGGGTCTGGGGAGACCAGATATAGTAAATGAAGGGTCATGGGTTTAATAACACTTTACACTGTTTTCCAGAGCTTTACCAGACATTAACCTTTGTTACTAAATGTCATTCAGGTGTGCAAAAGTGGAGTTGGAGTCATAGGTGTGAGCAAAGGAGCTGAGATGGCTCTAGCCATGGCGTCTTATTTCCCACAGATTGCCGCTGCAGTCTGCATCAATGGTCCCACGGTGATTACCGGCAACGCTGTCAGTTACGGGGATCTTATCCTGCCTGGAATTCCCTACCAAACAGAGAGAATGCTTTTTACACCCTCTGAAGCTTATGAAATGTCTCGATTATATGGAGACCCAACAAAACCAGAAAACCAGGCCTGTGTACTTCCATTGGAAAAGGCCAAAGGTCCCATCCTCTTCCTGGTGGGAGAAAAGGATCAGAACCATGACAGCTTACATTTTGCCAGGATGTCATTAGCCAGAGCGAAAAAGTGTGGCAAGATGGACGTGTACATGAAGAGTTATCCCGGAGCTGGACACCTCATAGAACCTCCATGTTCTCCTTTCTGTCCTGCATCAAAATTATCTTCAACACAGATTTCAATAATGTGGGGAGGGGAGCTTGTCCCGCACTGCCAGGCTCAGGAAATCAGCTGGCCAATAATACAGGACTTCTTGCGTAGAAATATTCCACGCTCTAAAAAAAATAAATTGTAAGAAATGATTGGTCACAAAAAAAAAAAAAAAACCTAAAATACAAACTTTACATGTCTTTATACTTTCCACAGGGATTGATCGGCAGCTTGGGGCGAAGAGTCCAGCTGAAATGTGATGCTAGTCATGTATGTGCTGTAGCTTAATGAATAAATGGTATTGGTGATTTCAGTTGCGTGTCTTCGCCACCAGAAGTTCAAAAAAATGGCTGTGAGTGAGGACATATTTTTAAACACAAAAACTCTGTTACATGTTTTCAGGATGGTCATGAATATTTTTATGTTGGAAAATTGGAGGGTTTTAATACTACTTTAATAGAAATTCATACTTTCTTTTACCAATTTTCTTCTTATATATGTGTAGCGCTACCTCCTTGAGAGCCACTAAGTTTTAGGTCCCCCTATTTCCTTCAGAGGCAACACACCTTTTCCAACTTTCTTTAGGGTCAGTAACCAGTCCATAGATTTGTTTTTGTTGTTTTATTTAGGGGAAACAACTTGGACATGGTTTAGGGGTATATGGGATGCCCAACTTGACTACTAGAACACAGACTTTGAGGACAACTTCCTATATTATGTGTACAAAAAGGATAGATCCTGGACTCTACTCCCTCCAGAGTGGCCTCAGTCTCTTAACAGATCAGTTACCATGTCTCTTTAAGGAGCAATAAGTCCCCTTGGATGAATCTCTTCAGACCCCAGGTGGAAACTACCCACCTACTTGGCTGCCTCAAGGAGTATCCCAGAAGAAGGGATTCCAGAACAGTCCTTAGCACTGTCCCAGGGAGAACTTGCTGGGTATTGCACCTGGCAGACCTCTCCTTTGTAGGCCCTGGGCGTATAGAGGTACTTGCACTCCCTCTTTCAGCTTCCTTTCTTCCTCCTTCCTCCAGCCTTCAGGCAGAGCCCCCCTTCCCCCAGGGTTCTCTCCCAGGCTACATGACAGCAACTCAGCAATCCATCTTCCTCCCCACTCCCCTGCTGGCTAGGCTCTTTCATATTTAAGGACTGACCTAGCCACCTTGCTAGGCCTCCTGCCTGGGGATTGGCCAGATTCCATTACGTATGCAGATCCTGTCTCCTTACCTCCACCCACTGGTTTCTAGAAGTTTCCATGAATCCTCCAGAACCAGGGGAAAGCGATAGAGGCCTGGTCTGCAAAGTCTTCCAGCCTGACCTCCCACTGAACCCACAATAAATTCAGACTCACACAACCATCCCGGGTCCTCGGCGGTGCGCGCATGCGCAGACTGCCGATCCGTCCCAGCCGGCGAGCGCCGAATCCTCGGCGATCGCGCGGCGGCGGCCGCGCATGCGCAGTAGCGATCGCGGCCGCACCAATGGGAGAACAGGGCGCTCTATTTAAAGCTGCCCTGTGCATCTCCAGGTTGCCGCAAGGTCTTGTTCCAGTCCTGTAAGTACGCTTCCTAGTTGCCAAACTCTGCCTGTTCTGACTTATGCTTACCTTCTCCTGCTCTGACCCCGGCTCGTCCCTGACCATCCTTCTGCCTGACCCTCGGTACCTCGTTGCCCGCTACCTGTTGAACCTGGCTTGTGACCCCGACTATTCTCCGCTTACTCCCCCTGTACCACGCTGCCCGCACAATTCCGACCCGGCTAGTCTGACCTCGTCCACTCCTGACAGTTGCCCATCCATCCCGCTCGGATCGGGATCTGTCATCCCATCCATCCCGCTCGGATCAGGATCTGTCATCCCCTTCACAGCAGGCTCAACCCGGGCACATACCCCCAGCGGGACCCCTCTGCCGCCGCCGGGGGTGCCCAGGAACGCGACCTGGTTTCAGTCTTGCACCAAGTCCATCCCCACCATCAGGGGCCCTGGTGAAAAGGCAGACTGGGACTTAGACTCCGCGCCCTGGGAAACCCCGTGCCGTGGACCACTAGAGATCCCGTTGGGTGAAGCCTGACAGTACCTTGCGGCCATGACTGAGCCTGGAAGGGGAACTTCCCCTCTGGACGACATCTGCCAACGGATGGAGACCCTTACACTGGGAATTAGGGGCCTACAGGAGGGTTATACGGAATTGGAGAGTCGCATGCAGACTTTAGCTACCTCTACCAGGGGGCCTGGGGAACCCGCACCAGAACCCCGTGTCCCCACACCGGAACGTTTTTCTGGAGACCAAGGGAGATTCAGGCCTTTCGTAACTCCTGTCAGTTATACTTTGACCTCCAGCCCCGGACCTTTTCCTCCGAATCGGTGAGGGTAGGGTTCATTATTTCCCTACTACAGGGAGGACCCCAGGACTGGGCCCACCGGCTCCGAGAGAATCGAGACCCCCTGTTAAAGTCGGTAACGGTATTTTTTGAGGCTATGGCCCTCTTGTATGACGACCCCCTGCGCACCGCAACGGCCGAGAGGGCCCTATATACGCTCAGGCAGGGTCACCGGACAGTGGAGGAGTATGCCGCCGACTTCAGGCGTTGGCGTAGTGACTGCCAATGGAACGAGGCGGCTCTGCACCACCAGTTCCGCGTAGGGTTAGCTGAATCCCTGAAGGACGAATTGGCCCGAATAGACATACCTAGCACTTTGGAGGCCTTAATAGCTTTGACTATACAAATTGACCGCCGGTTGCGGGAGCGCAGGCAGGAAAGGTGCAACCAAGGACGAGGCCCAACGGGAACACCTCCTCAGGCTTCAACCCTGTTCCAGCCGGCAAGCCAGAATCAGGATGCTATGGATACACCCGAGACCGGTCCATCGGGAAGAATCCGGCCGACACTAACACCCGAGGAACGCCAGAGGCGTCTTACCTACCATCTCTGCCTCTACTGTGGGGGAGCAGGCCATATGGTATGTACCTGTCCAGCCAAGAGGGGTAAGTGCTCCGCTATTTTCTCTACGGTATCTTCTAACAGTGTGGGCAACACTAGTTACCTAGCGGTACCTGTGTCACTTCAGCTACCAGGGAGAACAGTAGTGACCACGGCTATTGTGGATTCTGGGGCGTGTAGTTGCTTCATAGATTTAGACTTTGCAGTTCAGCAACAAATTCCTCTACAAACCAAGGAGGTGGGATTGAATATTTTTCTAGCAGATGGGTCACGCATTAAGTCAGGGGTGGTGGACCACGAGACCCCACCTATCCGTACTACCGTATCGACCCATCACGAGGAACTCCTTCGGTTGGGACGCCATAGCATCCCCATTATTTCCCATTATTTTGGGGCTCCCGTGGTTACGTGCCCATAATCCCCAGGTGGACTGGAAAGCGGGTTCTATCCAGTTCCTCTCCACATACTGCCAGCAGCACTGCCTCCCTAAGATCTCCCCGATACCGCCGACCGTGTTGTGTCTAGAGACAGATGCGGAGCTGGCGCGAGTCATTCCTTCAGTCTACCATAATTTTCTGGATGTGTTTAGCAAGCGGGGGGCGGACTCTCTCCCCCCGCACCGAGCTTATGACTGCCCAATTGATCTCCTCCCAGGGTCGGAAATCCCATTTGGGCGGATATTCCCCTTGTCCGAACGGGAGTTAGGGGTGCTAAAGGAATATATAGATGAAAACCTCCATAAGGGGTTTATTAGACCCTCCACGTCGCCAGCCGGGGCGGGCATTTTCTTTGTGGAGAAAAAGGACAAGTCCCTCCGGCCCTGCGTAGATTACCGGGACTTGAATAAGGTCACAGTAAAAAAAACCGTTACCCGCTACCACTGGTCCCCGAACTTTTTCAGAGGCTGAAGTCTGCATCTGTCTTCACTAAACTAGACTTGAGAGGTGCCTATAATTTAGTCCGTATCAGAGAGGGGGACGAGTGGAAGACAGCATTCCGTACCAGATTCGGGCACTATGAATATTTGGTTATGCCCTTCGGCCTATGCAACGCCCCTGCCACCTTCCAGCATTTCATAAACGATGTGTTCAGGGACTACCTAGATATCTTCGTCATCGTATACCTAGACGATATCCTTGTTTTTTCCCCAACCTTGGAGGACCATAGAGGTCACGTGAGGCGCGTGTTGGAACGGCTCCGCCAACACAGCTTATATGCCAAGGCAGACAAATGCTGCTTTGAACAAAGTAGTATTTCGTTTCTGGGTCTAACCATCTCTCCCACGGGAATAGCCATGGATCCCCAAAAGGTTTCGGCCATTTTAGATTGGCCAGCGCCCACCGACAAGAAAGCGGTCCAACTTTCATCGGCTTTGCTAACTTTTACAGAAAGTTCATTAAGAACTTTTCAGGCCTAGTGTCCCCGATCACCCAGCTGACCAGGCAGGGGGTTCGCTTCCAATGGACACCTGAGGCACAGAGGGCTTTCGAAGCCTTAAAGGAGTTGTTTACGGCAGCTCCTATTTTGAGCCACCCTGATTCGTCCTTGCCATATGTCTTGGAGGTGGACGCATCCGAGAATGCGGTCGGGGCGATCCTGTCCCAGAGGAAGGGCATCAAAGAGCTCATGCACCCGGTGGCTTTCTTCTCCAGGAAACTAACTCCTGCGGAAAGGAATTATGATATCGGGGATCGGGAGCTCTTGGCAATCAAGGTGGCACTAGAGGAATGGAGATACTTGTTAGAGGGAGCGGTACACCCAATATTGATTTTTACGGATCATAAAAACTTAGAATATCTGAGGACAGCTAAACGTTTGAGGCCACGTCAAGCCAGGTGGGCGCTGTTCTTTTCACGGTTCTTTTTTTCCACATAACCTATAGGCCAGGGTCTAAGAACACAAAACCAGACGCACTCTCCCGCATGTTTGGGGATCCCGAGGAGAATCCCAGGCCAGACACTATCCTGACCCCAGGGAATTTCCTAGCCCTCCAATCGGAGCTCCATTCGCAACTGCAGACCGCGTCCGTAGGGATGCAAGGCCCACCCGGTGTCCCCTTATTAAATAGGGAAGGACTTTTCTGGAAGGAGGATCTGATTGTGGTCCCTGAGGAGGCCCGTACCTTGGTATTAGGATACTGCCACGATCACCCGCTGGCCGGGCACTTTGGGGTACGTAAGACCTTGGAACTGCTGCAGCGTACTT